CCGATACCTCCATCCTCCCGCCTCTGCACATGTGCAAACCCTCTGATCAGACTCACCAGAGAAGCTCTCAACACCTTCAGCTCGACCTCCACCGTCTCCAAACCATCACAGCAGCTCTCACTACCATCTTTTAAATCTTCCCTTTCAGGCCTGCTGCTCTTTTTCTGTCACAGATCACTCTTGACACTCGTCTCCACCCGCTTCACCCTGCCTGCGCTCTCTGTGGATGGTTGTTAAACACATCCACCTTCACTACCGCTGCTCTTTGCACATTCACCTTCCCACCTGTCTCCCTCTCATTCAGACACGTGTATTCTGTCTTGCTGCTCCTCTTCTCTCCAGAGCATACCTCCACCTCTCCAGGCTCTCCTCCACCTGTCTGCCTACTCTCACTACAGATCACAGCGCCATCTGCAAACACCATAGTCCGCCTGCTCCTCCTGCTTGACTTCATCTGTCAGCCTTTCCATCACCGCTGCAAACAAGACGGGGGTCAGAGCAGCTCCCTGATGCGATCCCACCACCACCTTCATCCCATCAGTCGCTCCTACTGCACACCTCCTCGTACATGTCCTGCACCACCTTCACATCCTTCTCTAGCACTCCTGACTTCCTCTCACAGATCCACAAAGACCTGGCCAACATCTGCCCTCTCAGAGCAATCACAAGGAAATCTCTTTCTCATCGTGAAGCTGTCCTGCTGCTCACTGATCATCACCGCTCTTCTTCAACTACTCTCTGAAGCTAGCTTCATCCCACTGTAGTTCCTACAGATCTGCACTTTTGATCTTCTCCCTTCCTCAGGATTCCTCTCACTCTCCAAGATGATGTTGAACAATCTCCTGCCCTGTCTCAGAGACATCTGTAACCCAAATAAAACAAGGGTACCACTTTAAGGTCTGATAAATATGAGTAGAGATGGACAGCCTGTCAAACCAATCGAAATGCACAGGTCCCAGTATGCTTTGACCAATGGGAAAGCAACCTGCCGCTGTGTGCCCCTCCCACCTGCTCTGTGTTCGCCGCTACGCGTGTGTAGTCGCGTGCTGAGCTGCGCTGCAAAGTTTTGATCCCTGAGAGACTGAAGTTTTTGAGTTAGAAAAAGTATTAGATAAAAGTTTGCAACCAACTGTGCTGCACATAAGTTCGCTGGTTATCAGCTGCCTTTCATGTTAAAAGTAGCCACAGTGAGTAAACAGACGAATGCTGCAGTTTTCTGGCGCCTTTAGAAAGCTAGCTAAACTGTTAGCCTTCATTAGCTCTAGTTGTTATCAGCTGCCTGGAAGTTCATCTCACTCTGCTTCCAGAAGTGAGGTAACACTTGAAGCGCAACTTTATGTTTATTTTCCTTCACGTCGTAGTACTGTCATTAAAGAAAAAAACATGCCCTGTTACGCTGTTTAGAGTCCCGCGTGGTTCGACCGAGAGACACCGTACCATTGTCTTCGGCCTGATGCACTGAGATCGCTGAGTACATGTATGTCTTAGTTTAAGGCTACGTCCACACGTACACGGGTATTTTTGAAAACAGAGATTTTTCCGTTTTTGTTTTGAAAAATAATCCCGTCCACACGTAAACGCAGAAATGAAGGAAAACGCTGCTATGAACATGCCAAAGCAGCAGGTGGCGCTATATTCCTAACCGTGCAGAAATGTTGGCCAATCAGAAGTCTAGAAGCCTCGGTGGGAAATAGTAAACAAAGCTGGGGCATAGAAGCAGAACCGAGTCGTATGTGTGGAGGGACAGTAACTGTGTATATGTAAGCATTTAAACACTGCAGAGAGTAGAATTAACAGTAACAGTATTGTAGAAATTCATTTCACCGAAACAATAACGTGGCGCACAGTGTGACGTCAAAAAATGCGCACACCTTTGACGCTGTGTTTTTGGGTTTTTTTGATACAGCTTGTGTCTGACCCATACTCCGGAACAGTAGGAGGCGGTAATGCTCCTTTACGTTGGTTGCCAACCGCTGTTAAACACAAAGAAGAAGAAGAAGAAGACGCTGCATTTTCTGCGTTTTCTCCGTTTTCCTCGTCCACACGTAAACGTAAAAACTGAGTTTTCACAAATCTCCACCCTGGCAGGAGTTTTTAAAAATCTCCGTTTTCAGTGACCGAGAACGCCGTTTACGTGTGGACGAAAGGTGCAAACGCATAGAAAAATCTGCGTTTTCATAAATACCCGGGTACGTGTGGACGTAGCCTAAATCTGTTTTGCACTTTATTGTTCAGTAACTGAATTTATCTGAATTGTTTGGTTAATAACTGTCACATATGCACTAACTTTACTTAGCTTGGTTGTAAGTGTTAATGTTTTCATAATGTATTTAGAAAAGTGTTTGTATTACAATTTTTAACATAAGATAATATATTGCAGTTTATGTAACAGAGATGTTTTATTTTATCAAATTTGAGTAGTTTAATTGCAAATTGATGTAGAGTATGATGTCAACAAAATCCTAAGCTGTGCATTATAGCTAGAACAGCATAATTAATATTTGAATTGCTCTTCTGACCCCGTCTGTTGGCAGGTCAGGGGTGGATTCGATGGCGAGCCTTCCCACCTGGACTTAGAGAGACTGAGACTCGCGTCTTTTCCACTTGATGATGTGCTGCACCTTGAGGTGTGGTAGGACTGTATCACTCACACTCTCTCACACAGCTGGTTATACATGAGACCACTGCCTGACATTCTCTCACCCCTATTTTCTTTCACACCTGGGAATTTTTTGGACATTTTATATTTGGGACTTTGAATAATGAGCTGTTGTGTAGAACATTCTCCACATGTGACAGGAGTGTGAGATTTGTGTAATATGTTTCTATCAAAGTTAAGGAGTCAGGTGACTAGGGTGCACCCAGCATTGAAAACCAAAAGTAACACTTGGCCAAGTCGTTGTCTTAGTAGTTTATGTGTTTTACTTTTCTTTCATCTTGTGTACGTGTCCTTTCTACAATTGTAAAGTGCCTTTAATGGTTTATTTCACTAACGTCGGCTGGTTCTTTTGAGTTACACTCTTGTCTCTGTGTCTCATTTAAACACACCCCTGTGCTCCTATAGTCGAACCTATTGACCCATTGATACATTCTTTTCAACAATTCCCCTTACCGTGTTACGCATCTACAGCCACATCCATGTCGTCCGAACCAACCACCTTGCTGACTGATATTCATACTCATGAATCATCATCGGGACAACAACAGCAGTGTTCACGGCAGGGAGAAACTGCCCATCTGCCAGAGATCATACGGATGAACCAGGAGGCTGTGTGATGCATGTTTTCAGTGGATAGATGAGACCAGACGGATGGCGTGCTCTTCGTGAAACCCGATTGTGTTGTAGTGCCACATTGGGATGTTTTTTAATGCATCTGTGCCACGACAGCTCGCTGTTACTGAGCGAATACTGAATCCTGGATTACAGCAGAAACCTCTAATGTCAGGACTTCAGTCAGTGAAGAGGAAACACACCACCATCCCCGAGCTAATGCTGCTCTGTAGGGAGAAGGACCCTGAACCAGCCACTGCAGACACTCACAGATATCTGATATGTATATTTTTAGGTCAAATAACCAAACTGTGAGTTCCTAAATTTCCCCTTTAAACGAAACATTTTCAACATTTCACAGTGAGCAGTGAGGAGATCCGGAGCTGGGCAGTGTGCAGACGCTGTGCTGTTAATGCGCTGTGTTCACAGCTTACAGTCCAGTGCTTCTAACATGTTTACTGCCACACTTCAGAGGCTGAGTTAAATTTAACTAATTAACTGTTGGCTGGAGAGTGAAATTGCCGTTTGGTGTTCAGCATGAGATGCAGCCAAAGTGACGATAACAAGAAAATGAAAGACAACAAGCCGTCCAAAGCTCGTGATAGATGCACGCCACCGCTGCCTGCCGCCATCCAAAGAGTCACTACACGCGTCTGTCAGGTGTGATACCTGCGACGCCGCTCCTGTCGAGCAGTTAGAGTCCGTATATAATCCACTCGGGGTGATTCTGGCGTCTCTGTGCTTTCATTATTTCATCGTGGCCCGCGAGGATCATCACAGTTTAACTGGGAAAAAACTGAACTAATGAGGCCAAAATGTAGAGGAGGCACGCCAAAAACACGACCTCGAGTGAACTCGAGTGTCAAACACAATTCTGGCTCTTGTTTATTGGAAGCAAAGCGGATCGGGCTGATGTTATTACAGAGCTACAAACTCCGCAGAGAGCCAGGAAGGGTGGACAGATGTGTCAATTAAATGTGGGACAGGGGAGTGCACTTTATTTCCCGGGGCTGACTCCAACTGGCAACCTCCCAGGCTGGAAAAAGAAGGCGGCGTGGAAAACACTGGGACCTGCAGTTCCTCTCACATCCACACGAGGCAGGCTCCAACGGTAAGCCCTCCCTCCTTACAGCAGGAACAAACGGCTCTGTGGTCTCCATAGTTCATGTCCTAGCAAACATTTCATTAACGCACCTGTTTGATTTTGGCACTCTTGACAGATGTGCAGGCACAGCTGTAGCTAATAGCTGTCTGCTAGACCTGTGCTGTAATTTCAATGCAACTGTCTGACCAATAACACGGCTGTCTCGGCTGAGACAAGCCAGGAAGTTAGAGCTCCAGTTTTTACGCCTATTTTGAGGATCACGTGCAGTGAAGTCGCAGTGGCTCCGTCTGTAAACTCATTTTGTAGCTTTTTGGTTTCCGTAGAGCCGATCGGGTGCGTTCAATGACCTCAGGGTGTGCTCACTCCGAGTTATGGATGTGGCATCATTAGGAGCTTCAACATCATGAGCACAAACCTGTGCGAGGGCTTCAACACGACGCAGCAAATGCTCGACACTTACCGTAACCTGAGAACATAAAAGCTGCACTTCCACGTTCACTTTTATTAAATATAAAAACTGCAAGAAAACGAGAGCAGAGAAAGGAGGGGGCGGTACGTGCCCGCGTTCAGTACCGTCTATTCATGCCAGCAGTGGCAGGAAGGATTTCTCATGGCGTCCTTTACCTGACACACTCCGCTGATGCACATGTCAAAGGCGTCCGCTCGGCACCGAGTCCCGTCCAGCACCTTCGGGGCCAGTTCCACAGTGAGGCTTCGGCCTTTAGCCTGGCAGCGCAGAGCGCAGGGGGCGGTGGGGTCGTACGGCGCTGGGACCCACTCGTACGTGACGCCCTGGTACTTGATATCATTGTGAGCCGAACACTGCTGGGCCCGGAAATCCCCCGACTCTGCAGGGCAGTCCTGAGGAGAGGAGACGAAAGTGTCACCACAATAACTCTTTATAAACTCATCTCGTTTTTTCACGTGACGACTGACAGAAATTCATATTTCGCCTCCTAATTCAGTTGGCTCTCATACTTTCTGTTTCTAAAGAAGGGAGGAGGCCCTGGGCAGACCCAGGACACGCTGGAGAGGTTACATCGCTGGGCTGGCCACGGTGAGCCCTGAAGGCCACACAGTTTTAGAGGTTTTCCTCAGTAGCAAACATTTTACTTTTGCATTTCCAACCTGTGGAGGAGCTTAAACATTTCAGCAGATGATCAAACAGCTGGAGGAAGCAGGTATTTTCTGGCACCAGCAGAAACTCACAGCAGGGAGTCTGTGACGGCAGAGCAGAGATCTCTGGTTTAACACAATTCAGACACTCCACAGAGCCGTGAAGCCTGAAAGCAGCTTCCCAGGGCTGGTTACCGCTCACTGTCAGCTCCACATCACTGAGTGATAGTCATCAGCCTCACTACTCCTTCTTTCACATGATATAAAAATATCAGTACTCGTTTTTTAGATGCACCACACTAACACTTTCCTGTGACACCCGTTTATTAGAGGGTGGTGCTGGGAGACCCTAAGCTGAATTTAGGGCTGTTGTTTCCTTTTAATGACTCAAATATCCACAGAACGTGGAAAACGAAGCTGCAGCTGGAAGTCCGTCTGTGTGACCGAGAGGAGGTGATGCTGCAGAGAAGCTGTTTCGGTGCTTCTTAGGACCGAACGCCGTCTCGGATCGAGACCAGACGTTTGCTCCTCTGGCAGCCAAAAATCCGTCCTCCTCCGTGTGACGGAGAACTGGACAAATCCGGTGTGACACATCGGCTCCACGCAGTCACACTCTGCCACTGCTCGTATCCTTCAGCCCGAGCTCCGGTTCACACAGACTTAGCCTCAACGTGTCAACAGACACGGGATAGAAATTATCCTGGGAATTTTTCTCACCGGATGCAATGGATCCAGACTAAAACACTTCAGTGGGGAACGAGAGAAATAAGGCCGGTTTTCCTCGGATTAAAAATGGCGAGGTTATTTCAGCAGGCCGGATCTGTGATGTTGCCATTAGCTTATAGATCATATGAGGTTTTCATGCATAAACAGGAAGTAGAGGAGGATACACACAATTTGTGTTTGGTCTGTTCAGATTATTCCTGGGCAGCTTTTTAGTCGTGCCATCTCTGGGTGTGCTGGTCAGGAGACTTCTGCTCTTTGTTTTTCTGGGTTTTCTTGTTCCTTCGTTTACAGCAGCTGATCACACCGAAGCCAGCCGGGATGACGACCGGAACGGCAACATCGACAGACAGGAAGAGGAGAACGGGCAGACGGTGCAGAGGAGGAACCGAGTGACGAGAAAGAAATGAAAATCTAAGCTGCATCTCCCATCTGTCATCGCAGCGCGAGGTCAACAGGATGCCGCGCTAAGTTAAGAAGACTTCTGTGAGTTTAACAGCTGAGTGAGAAGCAGAGCGAGCGCCCAAAAGTCTGAGCGTCTCTGTTCCCTCTTGATTGGAGGAGTCGGTGCCCCGAGTGAGGAAGATCCTCCTGATGAGGGACAGGAAGGTGTAGCGTGAACATGACAGGTGGATCAGTGCTGCACCACTGTGGTGGAGAAAGCTGAGCTGGAAGGTGAAGCCCCCGTCATGGACATGTAACGAGCGTCATCTCGAGGAGCTTTATTTCGTAAGGTTAAGACCCTCCAACTCCAGACGACCATCTGTGAGCCAACGCTTTGGCAACAGTGGGAAGAAAAACTGCCTTTGAGCAGCGAGGAACGTCCTGGCTCATGTGGAGGGCGGTTGGCACGATTCATTCCTCTGTTAAACTGACAGCTGCGTCTGGGCAGAGAAGCTCAGAGCTCTGTCTGGGTCCCACTGACGGACATAATCTCTCAAGCATCTCCAGGGCCTCCGCCAGCTGGACAAGCCTGAAACGCTACGAGGCAGATGTGGAACCACCTCAGCTGTTCGGTTCATGGAGGGGTCCCTCCTCCCTGCGTCTCTGAGGCTGAGCTCTCTCTGCATCGCCTGGACCACCTTAGACCCACTCAGACTCACCGTGTTACTGCAGGTTCTGTAGCGGATATTTTTTCCTTCACAGCTTCTGTAAAACAAGGTCAGAAAAAAACGATTTAGTGATTAAAACCAAAAGACATCAAAAGCTTTAAAAACAGCGAGTCGTGCACCGTTTCCCATCATCAGCCGGTGAGCTGCCAAATATTATTTTTATAATCAGATAAAAATGATGGTGATGGTTCCACTGGGGCGCAGAGATTATGGTGTAACGAGACAATAATCTCCTAATTACTGACTTACTCAGTTCATTACAGCACACAGAGCTCACAGTGAAGACGCTGCTGACTGTGGGGGGGCGGCAGACACAACCCCCCCACTGTCACTCACTGACCTCACCTGGACCCACAGCACCAGCGCTGTGGTAAAGAAGGCCCAGCAGCAGCTGCAGCCTCACTAACAGCTTCTTCCCCCGTTAACAAAGCGTTTCAGCTCCTCTGTTGTTCGTTTGAAGGCAGACGTGACCTCTGACCTCTGACGGTGTATCAGCTGTCTTGGTTGGAGCATCACTCAGACACAGACACCTGCTAATCAGTGCTCAGTGACATCCTATACAATCCCTAAATTTCCGTCTGCACCACAACTGGAGCTCAGCCTTCCTGTGCGGTCTGTTACTACAGACTTCATAACCTCCTGAGAACCAGCCTGTTCATTTATGTTCTCTGCAGTGGGCGTTTGTTTTTGCTCTATGTCTACTGACTTATTTGAGCTACCCTACTAAGTCCTGATGTGCTAAACAGAGGACTTCCTGGGCTTTCCACTGATACGTCGTGTGTTTGTGGGGCCTCTTTTAGCTCCAAAGGAAGGAAAATCACGAAAAAGTTCAACGGGAAGATTTGTTTTCCTCGGTTCTCAGGATGAGGCTGTTTTCTTATTCGTCTCCTACTTTCAGCTGCTCTCTTTAGCGGGTCACCTCATCTGCCTCCATCTGACCTACTCCCAAGCATTCTCTGTTACACCGACCGTTTACACCACCTTCACCTCATCCATGAAGCTTTGAACAGACTGTAAACGTGCTGATTTCTGCTTGTTGGACGAGCCTGCGGGAACTGAATCGGCCTGACGTGGACATCACAGGAACTATTTATGCTTCATCTGTGGAGGTAACGATGGGAATGATGAGTCTTGGTGATAATATTACACTGCAGTATTTTCAGTTGCAATGATCATAACGGTGCAGCAGACGTGGACAGAGCTTCGTGCTCTTCTTGTCTCCAGAAAGCTAAAAACATCATCCTGTCACCGGGTTCTCCTGCGCTCGAAGGCATTCAAACATAAACTCAATCAACTCGTCTAAAATGAAAAGAGGCTGAGAGTGACGAGGAGTTCGGTGTGAGCACTGAAACCTGTGAGGCCAGCAGCAGCAGTCAGTCTCCAAAGACTCAGAATCAAACCGGGGGTGATGTCACGGGGCTGTATCCATCCTTTAAATACAGTCTATAGCCAAACCTCACATCGACTGGTGTCCATGGCTGCATCGTTGGACTTCACAGCTTTTGTTTGACTCATCACTATTTCTGGTGCTGAATGTTCTTATCGACCAGTCAGAGAAACACGTGCACAGTTTTCTCATCTTTCCTGCACGTTTCCAGTTCATCATTCATCATCATCATCATCATCATTTTCACCCTGAACTTTGCTCCAGATCGGACCTCCAGGGGCCTGAGATCCACCATGAATATAATAGATTACCACACACACAGACACAGACACAGACACACACACACACACACACACAGACACACAGACACACAGACACACACACACACACACCTGTAAGGTAATAGCACACACCACCTGCAGCATACCTTACTCAGTCAGCAGCTATTTCAGCACTTCACTGAGCTCCAGCTGGCAGAGCCCACAAAGCCAAGAAAAGGTAAACACACACACACACACACAC